TGTATTGTTTTGTCAATATCCAAATGAAGAAATTTACAGCTTAAGCTTTCTAGCTATAAACAAATGCCTAGAATGAACTCACATGGTCGTTTTATTTACCTAGTGTTGCCTGGTTGATTGGCTGGGCTCTTGTGCTGGAATATACTATTGGTGGATCTGCTGTTGCCCGTGGCATATCTCCAAATTTAGTAAGTGTGATGTTTCTAGTATCTAGCTCTTTTCAACTGTATTCAGTCAATGCTTTGAATCATAGGCCTGGTTTGATGAACTTTGTTTATTTTTCCAGGCATTGTTTTTTGGAGGACAGGATAGTCTGCCATGGATTTTAGCACGCCATCAGCTTCCATGGTTTGGCATCATTGTTGACCCCTGCGCAGCTGCTCTTGTTTTTGTTGTGACTGTTTTACTGTGCGTGGGAATTAAAGAGGTTGCCACTTTGATCGATTCATAAGTTCTTATTCCTTTTCTCCACAAATACAGAACCACTTATGGCCATTCTATTTGAACTGTTGCAGAGTTCATTTGCACAAGGAGTTGTAACAGTTCTGAATGCTTGTGTAATGATATTTGTTATTGTGGCTGGTAGTTATATTGGCTTCCAAATAGGATGGGTCGGCTACAAGGTTTCTGATGGGTAATGCATAAAGGCTTGGTGCTTCCTTTCTATTGGGGGATTTCATTAGTGGTGTGCTAATAGGTATCTGAACTTTCCAGGTATTTCCCACATGGAGTAAATGGAATGCTTGCTGGATCAGCAACTGTTTTCTTTGCATACATAGGCTTTGATATAGTCGCTAGTACAGCTGAAGAGGTTAGGAAAGTCCCATCTGACAGAGATGTGCGCTTCTTTTACAAGAGTTATTTGTTTTTACCCCCTTTTGACCCCTTCAGGTAAAGAATCCACAGAGAGATCTGCCATTGGGAATTGGAGTAGCGTTGGCTATTTGTTGTGTGTTGTATATGGCTGTTTCTGTCGTTATTGTTGGGCTGGTACCGTATTTCGCCATGGACCCAGATACTCCTATTTCATCTGCCTTCGCAAAACATGGAATGCAATGGGCCATGTAAGTCCTGTCTTTTTGTTTACCCCCTTGTGTATACTAGTCATCGGCTTACAGACTTTACCATCTAATTTTAGGTATGTTGTGACAAGTGGTGCTGTTCTTGCACTCTGCTCGACCTTGATGGGTTCACTTCTTCCACAGGTATACGCTGCTAAAAGCATACTATGACTTACTCCTGATGACACCTAGTGGCTGAAAATGCAATGGAACTTGTGCTTCTCATTCTACTGACAGTCACTCTGCAATAAGTTGTGAACCTTGCCTTGTAACTGGCCAAAACTGATTTGCTCCAGACCCTTGTTGTAAAATATGTTTGTTCTTCAATTAGCACCTTGGATTCCATGTTTAACTCAACATTATCCATCAATTGCATTGACCCCCATTCGTTCATTTTCAATTAAATCCCATTCAACTAATGCTGCAATGAACTTTGATTTGCCATGCCACATCTGTGAGCGAAGATGTAGGCATGTAGAACTATGGCATACCACATCAGCTCTAGGTAGATGATATTTTAATACTTTGTGTCATCATGATTTGAATTGTTATTCTCGCAGCCTAGAATACTTATGGCCATGGCACGAGATGGTCTGTTGCCATCCTTCTTCTCTGAGGTTAACAAACAAACTCAAGTACCTGTTAAGAGCACAATTGTGACTGGCATCTGTGCAGCTGGTCTGGCTTTTGCAATGGATGTTTCACAGTTAGCAGGAATGGTAAGTAACCAGCTATCTGTGATTGTTTGTATAATCATAGCCATTTTTACAATGGATTATAGAAGAGAAACTTCCTGCAGGACTGTACATGCATGCAAGCATTACAAATCATGTAAGGTGGAGTGAAATAAAAATTATGTTCTTTTGGTTGCAGGTCAGTGTAGGCACACTCCTTGCATTCACCATAGTTGCTGTCTCAATCTTGATACTCAGATATGTCCCTCCAGATGAGGTCCCTTTGCCACCCTCTATGCAAGAATCATTCCGTTCGAACCAGGAATGCGATGAGGAAACGGACAGGGGCCTTCTTGGCGTTGGGAACTGTAACTTGTCTCAGACAAAGGATGTGATTGTGGTAGTAGAATCAGTGAAGGACCCTCTCATTGATAAAAGACTGCATAAAGGTAATACAAATTTGCTTTTGGGTTTTATTCAGTTTCGTTGTTCCACAACAGATACATTTTACTTCAGCTAGCTAACTAGAATGAATTTCCATGTTAATTCTGTAGGCAAGATGGATGAGACGAAACGCCGAAAGATAGCCTCTTTAAGCATAGCGTCTGTGTGTGTAGGGGTTCTGATCCTCACATCTTCAGCCTCTGCCACATGGTTGCCTTTGTGAGTACCATATGACTCTGTCTGAAAGGATAGTAGGCCGGCTCCTTCAATTGGTCACTTTATGATTCATCACATTAACAAACATAGAAAAACTCATTGCCCTAACAAAAGTATCCTGCCCTATATCAGTCTCCCGATATGTATTGGCTGCATCATTGGAGTTGTGCTCCTTCTGACTGGCCTCAGCTTGCTCTCCTGGATTGACCAAGATGCTGGCAGGCACTCTTTTGGTCATTCCAGAGGTACCGCTAACAAATTTACATAACTCTGCCTACCAATATATTTGAACTAAACAGTACATATCTGTGATTTGTTTTCTGCAGGATTCACATGCCCTTTTGTTCCACTTACCAGTTTTGTGTATCCTGATAAATACGTATCTGTTGATAAACCTGGGGTTAGTGTCGAATCTATTATTCTGTTTCGATGGAAATACTAGTTGTAAATGACTGACTTGCCTTCTCTCTTTGTGATTATTCTGAATTGCTCATTTCCCATGTGTTCTTCAGTGGTGACACATGGATGAGGGTTGGCATATGGCTGCTGATGGGTGTTCTTGTGTACGTTTTCTATGGACGAACCCACAGCTCCCTAACAGATGTCGTCTACGTTCCGGTAGCGCGGGCTGATGAGATATACAGGAGTTCATCAGGATATGTATCATAGAAAAGAACAGCTGCAGTCATGTGACATGATAGAGTTACAGAAAGACCGACCGGATGATATTTACTTAAAAGGTGGTTGGCCATCTGTAGATAATTGGTTATCAGCCAGGAAAGCGGGAACTGACTGTTATTTCTTTCATGCTTGGCCAACAAGATCTCGTGGATGCAACTTTGCAAGATATATGCTGTTCACGAGCCAGGTCAGTTTACACATTGTTGGACTGTGTGTAGATGTGGTGTATATAAACCCAATTGGGTGGAATATGTGATACATAATTTGTGTAATTCATGTAAAGCCCTTTGTACTGAAATGTGAGGGCATTCAAAGGACCTATTGAAACAGAACACGAATGGCAAAAGAAGTCACCTTTTTTTATATCATATATGTCATCAACAAACATTCTCTTCAAGATTTTGTTTAGTTGCAGATTTGACCTTGGTCAGTGGGTTAAAAGGTGTACTTATTTTTTTCCCCTCGAACAACTGTGTGACTTTTTTAGGGATAAAAAGTCCTCTGCATAAGTCATAATTGTGATAGTTTAAATTCACTAATCAGAATTTGCCGTCTATATTTGTGGCCTTCACCTTATTCAGCTGATGTTGGTATATCTCAAAAATCTCGAAGTGTTCTATGCTATAAAATGGATTGGCACTACTTGTTGTTCTAGACCATAAGCATATGTATAAGCCATTGCCCTGGAGCCCATAGAGCAGAGCAGGTAAGATCACAATCTTTTGTGCCTAAAACCTTGTATGTAGTAGGCACGGCCTGCCTGCCTACTACTAGTGGGAAAAAAAAGTATGTACGATAGTATGAGTTCCATCCGACCATCCTGGATTGAATCTGACTTGGGACTCATTTTGCCGTGGCAGTGACTTCCACCATGAACATAATCTGGTAAACACCTGATTTTTTTGAACCATGAAAATATCCCTGAGCTTCTAAAAATTCTGAAAGAGCTCTAGAAATAGATTGGGACAGTAACAACCAAAAAAATATTTAGATTTGGTGAGGATATCTCTAGAAGTTTCTAATTTTGGATTTAGTAGAAAAATGAAAATAACTAAAAATATCTGGATAATCCCTAGAACATTCTAATCAATATCAGTTTGCATTTTGAAAGTTTTCTACAACAAAACACAAGATGCGATAAGCATGAATGCATTTGTTACATGCTAGTTGAATTTCATAATTTATTTTATAATTTTTTAGACGTGTTTAGACACTAATTGGAATGTTTCAGAAAATTTAGAGATTTTTTCATATTCCTAGAGCTATATCTAGTTTTTAGAAACTTCTAGATATGTTATTTATGAACTCTAAATATTTTATTTGGGTTTCTTGCTACCGCTATTTTTTCTAAGATTTTCTCATAATTTTTAAAACTTTATATATTTATTGTGGTTTAAAAACATTATTAGGTGTTTATTGGAATTTTTATTTAAAAGCATGAAAACTTCATTGAAAAACACTTATAACCAGCACAGAGAGAAAATAGTTCTGCAATTCGTCCGGTTTTAGAATGTGAGAAGAAACACCTAGACTCCAGTGATAATTCAACAGGCAAAAACAACATGTATTTTTTTTTATCAAATATCAAAAGCGGCTTAGTCTGGCCCAAGCCTGTTAGACATCCTAGTTGTTACAAACTTGGGCTTTAATGCCCAGGCTGTCAGAAGATATCAGCCCACGGCCATAGCCCAGATCTCCCGGACTGAAAGCACGTCAGTCCAGCCCACGCTCCTTCTCGCCAACGTCACCCCACGCAGGCACGGCCAGGACCCAGGAGAACCGAAGAGGCCTCAAAACCGAAACCCGTCCCAAATAATTCGTCGTCTCCTTCCCCTCCTCAGTCTCCACCACTCTCCCCCCTTTGCTTGCTCCCCAAATCGTAAACCCTAGCCGCGCCAGAGCGTGAGGGAACCCCATCGCAGCCATGGGCGCCAGCCGGAAGCTACAGGGCGAGATCGACCGCGTCCTCAAGAAGGTCCAGGAGGGCGTCGACGTCTTCGACAGCATCTGGAACAAGGTACGCCCCCAGCGCCCTCCTTCCGTTCACCCTGCCCCTGCCGGAAAATTTTCTCGCTAATTTTGTTGATTGTTTTTGTTTGGGGGCAGGTCTACGACACTGAGAATGCCAACCAGAAGGAGAAGTTCGAGGCGGACCTCAAGAAGGAGATCAAGAAGCTGCAGCGGTACAGGGACCAGATCAAGACGTGGATCCAGTCCAGCGAGATCAAGGACAAGAAGGTGAGAATTATCTCGAGTCCTGCCCCCTCCCCTGGCAAGCCTCTATGTCTGCACGTGGAGGGGCATGATTGTTTGCGATGCAATGCTGCTGCTGTTTGCTGACTTTGTGCTGTGGTCAATGTGCCGTTATGCTGTCCTCTTTAGTTGAGTGCTAGGTACAAGGGCGTTTTGAACAAGTTATGTTGTGTGGCGTGACACCGGTGGTGATCAGTGAGTAGGGACCTTGACTGGAGAATAAAAAAAAAGGGCGTACCCAGTGCAGAGAACTCCGGCATAGAGCTGTCCTTGACTGCAAGTAAGGCGGTGATAGTGTAGATATTTTGGGCAGCTGGAGATTTTTGCCGACATGAACTGCAGCGTCCACGAGGAGCACTGGAGAGCTCGCGTGCCTGTGCTGGCCGCCGTGGTGGCAACGACGTGTGGCGGGGAGGTTGGGGAAAGGCCTGACAGGCGGGGCCCGCGAAGAGAAGGAGGGGGATGACAGGTGGTCCCAACCTGGCGGTGAGAGGGAAAGGCCTGACAGGCGGGGTCGTGGCGGGTTTACTGTGCGATACCGCGGTCGAATGGGCGCGAGGGCCAATTTTAAACGGTTTTGAGAGTTAAGGGACTGCGGGTGTCTGGTTTTCAAGTTGGAGGGCTAAAATCAAACTGCTGCCATAGTTGGAGGGCCAAAAACGGACTTTTTCCTTTTTTATAGGAGGAAGCAGCTTAACGGGGAAGTCTTAGTGGGTCTAAGCATTACTACTATGGTGGCTGACGAGAGGGGCCAGCGTCGCGGAACATGTGCGGCTTTTGCTAGGAAAATTATTAGTGCATGACGTTTGTTAGGAAGGAGTAATAAAAATCTGGTGCTCCAACGAACTCAGGATCTGTTTGCAAAAATCCATTCTCTACCAATCTATGTGGATTAGAATGCAAAAATGAATCAGCTTCTTTCAATCTCTCACCTCAAATAGTGCTTGTGATATGTGAACGCTAGAGCCTAGAGGGGGTTATTCTATTTCTAAATGATGTTAATAGTGAAAAAGGCAAAAAAAAAGCATGACATGATACTTGTACCGTTGTACTCGCTCGAATGAGAGTATGGTTCCAGAATTTGCACGCGCTTGAACTTATCAGCCATGGTACAGTGTTTCTCTCACAAGAAATCAACCAACGGTACTTTTCATCCTGGCTTTTCAGCGAAGCGAACAGGGCATTATTTTCTGCACGTGCATCGAGAGTCCGTCGGCTCCCACCCCAAGCCCCTTGCATTCAAAATTCAAACGGTTCAGCATTCTCTCTCCATACCAGATTTTATCTAATATAATTCTTCTTTCACCTAAAAAAAAAATGTTTTAGTCCTCGGTTTTCACAATACGCACCATTGGTGTGGATACAAAGGGTAGTCACATTTTTTTCCTAATTCATTAAAATTTAACTTCGTCAAACAACCTTTTCTAATATATTCATCTGTCCACAAATTAAGCATGTATAGTGTTTAAAATTTTTCACAAATGTTTACCGTTCCTGAAGTCTTCCAGCTAGTAAATTAAAGAAACCGCCGTTAAATTATCTCCTGACCTCTCTCCCGCTAACCAATCAAGAGATGGACTAGGCCCTTTACTGAGGAGAACCAAAGTCTTTTACTTTTTGGCTCAATTTGACCTAAAAATCAAATCTTATGAATGCTTACATGCGTGGATGAATGAGAGAGGATTCTAAGGCAAATCCTAAGGGAGGCTTTATATTGGCATTGGCATATTTTCAAAAGTGCCAGAGAACATTTCTTGATGCTTGAATTGTCTTTCTTATGCATTGTTCCAATTTTGGTTTCATATATATATAAGCAAAAATAGTATTTGTGTTGGAAACAGTGCCCAAGTACTCTCATCTAAACAAAACCCCTTTGTACTCTCTTTTCGTAAATGAATAAATAAGTGTTCATAGCACCCTGAGAAGCATCCATTGACATTGGCCTAACTACTTCAACTCCATAATTCAATATTGCTAAAACTTGAACAGAAGCATCCGAGATCCAAACACGTGAACACCAACCTGCAATACATGTACAAGCGCCTCCTCAAACCATCTAATATTGCAGAACACGTATGCTAGACATTTATTTTTACTTAAAATGCTCCAGTATGCTCCGACTAAGCCTTGCCACAATCTATCTTCCCCTTCCAAATCCAGAACAATTCTAGCATGCTCCAAGAAGCAGGCACTGCCACGACTTTATAATTAGGGACAATCTGTGTAACTATCGCAATCATTTTGCTTTCAGTCAGAAAACAGCCTTGTATCAGTCTCACTCTCACAGGCACGTGAAAAGAAAAGGCAAAGAGCACCCTTGAGAGTGTAATCACAGGTTGAAATTTGGGTAGTCCAAATGTCCAAATGCATAGTCGGCCAAGCCATCCATGTATTCATCAATCGCAGTCTGCGAACACTCCGAGTGGTGCTCAATCATCTGTGCACAGGAAAAGTTAGCAGTAAGTTATGCCCCATCACAAGTACTAGTTGCAATAACTTTGTTGTCGTGAAATTTTGAACAACCTGTATTTCATTCATCAGCTCCTTCTCCACCATCTATATCACAATTTTTTTTTTGGTACACAAGCAGCATAGACGTATTAGCATCAGAAATAATCAATATCAAATATAAGGTTTGTTTTATGAAGGAAAAGATGGCTATACCTGTACCTGGTCCACAGAAAAGTTGTTATCCGCCATCTGAAAGATTCAGCAGACACCATGAAGTTGTCACCATCACCGTACACACGAAGCACATTTACAAGAATGTAAAGGAACTATACCTCTGTGTCATCCATAAGAAAACTGTTCACCACCTGCATCACACAATTGAAATCATAAGACAATATATTTTTTCTGTTTGCATCTTAAGTCTAATGGATAGTAATTAATAACTTTCAGTTGGAACACAAACATTTTTTTTTGACAACAACACAAACAAAGTTTCACCTCTATTTCTGGCATAACTGCCTCAGTGTCCATCAGTATCTCAGAAGCCCTGCACATCAGAAACATGTCTTAAACATAATGTCCAACGGCATAGCATGACATATGAAATGCCGAAATCTTATTTGAACGGAGAGTCACACATATTAGGTGCTACTATGCTAGATGATGTGTCGTGTGGTATATCATCAGGAGCTTCAGGTCCTAAAACACACTTCTCCTTGTACTTCTGGTGAAACAAAAATAACAACAAGGAAAATTTAATGAGATCATGCATGGTTTAATGGCAATGATATAGGTATCCAGTGAATGATCTGAAACAGGGAGAGGCACCTGGAGGTGACTCTTGATCTTTTTTTATTGTGAGGCCTCTGACCCCCATAAACTCCGCCTATGGTGGGGCGCCTTTGGTCTCCTAGCATAGCAGGTTCTAAGCCCTGGTAAAGGAGGAGGGTTGTGTACTTTTATGGAGATGAAAACCAAAAGAATCCTGTTGGGGCGTAACCCTCTTAGCGACGCGCCATGTCGGAACCCGGGTATGGTGTTAAATGAGCAAGGGCCGGGTCGTCACCCCCGTGACGCGCCGTGTCACGATCTGGGCACGGTGTCAAGTGAGCAAGGATCGGGTCGTCGCATCATTAGTGGCGCGCCACATCGGCGCTCGGGTGTGGTGCAAAATGAGCAAGGGTCTTCACACCTACCTCGGCGGGTGCGAAGGGTAAGGAAGCTAGTCGAGCCAACTAGGATCCGTTTAGGTAGCTGGAATATATGGTCCCTTACGGGTAAGTTAAGAGAGTCAGTGGACACAGCGGTTAGGAGGCGTGTAAATATCTTATGCGTCCAAGAGATTAAATGGAAGGGGCAGAAGGCGAAGGAGGTGGACAATACCGGCTTCAAGCTCTGGTACACAGGGACAACTTCAAATAAAAATGGAGTACGATTTTTTATTGATAAGTGCCTCAAGGATGGTGTGGTGGAGGTGAGAAGGCAAGGGGATAGGATCATCTTAGTTAAACTTGTCATTAGTGATATGGTCTTAAACGTAATTAGTGCGTATGCCCCCAAGTAGGCCATGATGAGAGTGCTAAGCGGCTTTTCTAGGAAGACTTAAATCGCTTGGTTAGAGCTATACCTAGTAGCGAGAAGCTCTTTATAGGAGGTGATCTTAATGGCCATGTAGGTACATCAAGTGCAGGTTCCGAGGCGGTTCAAGGGGGTTTCGGATATGTTAGTAGAACCATAGCTTGGTGAGGAAGTCTTAGACTTCGCCATAGCTTTTGATAGCTAACACTTTCTTTCGTAAGAGAGTCCCATTTAGTAACCTTTAGTAGCGGCCAGTACTCTAGTCAAATCGACTTTGTCCTTACAATGAGGGATAAACGAACATGCGTGGACTGTAAGGTGATACCTGGAGAATGTGTGGTCGCTCAACACAAGCTGGTGGTGGCTGACTTTCGCTTTATGGTGCAAGCTCGTGGGAACAAACAAGCTAGGGTTGCTAGAACGAAGTGGTGGAAATTAGAAGGGGAAGCATCAAAGGTCTTTTAGGAAAAAGGTCATTGAAGAGGGCCCTTAATGATGAAGGCGATGCAAACAACATGTGGGAGAAGATGGCAACATGCGTTCGGAAGGTTGCTTCAGAGGTGCTTGGAGTGACCAAAGGGAGCGGATGCGACTCGAAAGACACTTGGTGGTGGAATGAAGATGTGCAAAAGGCTATTAAGGGAAAGAAGGGGTGCTATGAGCGCTTGTATCATGACAGGTGTGTAAACAACATAGAGAAGTACAAGGTGGCAAAGAAGACTGCAAAACGAGCGGTGAGTGAGGCAAAGAGGCGGGCCTATGAGGACCTTTACCGACGTTTGAGTACGAAGGAATGAGAGAAGGACATTTATAGGATGGCTAGGGCTCGCGATAGGAAGGCAAGGGACTTCAACCAAGTCAAGTGCATAAAGGATGAGAGAGAGCAGCTCATGGTGAAGGAGGATGAGATCAGACATAGATGGCAAGAGTATTTTGATAAATTGTTCAATGGTGAGAATGAGAACAACACCGTTCAGCTGGACGACTCGTTTGATGATACTAACAGGCGTTATGTGCGGTGGATTCAAGAATCGGAGGTCAGAGAAGCCTTGAAAAGGATGAAAGGGGACAAAGCGATGGGCCCTAATGGTATCCCAATCAAGGTGTGAGATGTCTCGGGGATATAGCTGTAGTATGGCTAACCAAGATGTTCAACAATATCTTTCGATCGAACAAGATGCCTGAGGAGTGGATATTGGTACCAATATACAAGAACAAGGGAGATATCCAAAGTTGTACTAATTACCGGGGAATTAAATTGATGAACCACACTATGAAGCTATGGGAGAGTCATCGAGCAGCGCCTGCGAGGAACGACGCATATATCAACAAACCAATTTGGTTTCATGCCCAGAAGGTCAACCACAGAAGCAATCTTCTTAATAAGACAAGTTATGGAGTGGTTTAGAGAGCAGAAGGACCTCCACATGGTTTTCATTGACTTGGAGAGGCTTATGACAAGATACAAAGAAATGTTATGTGGTGGGCTTTGGACAAACATAAAGTTCCATCAAAGTACGTGACCCTCATCAAGGATATGTACAACAATGTTGTGACTAGTGTTCGAACAAACGATGGTAACACAGGTTACTTTCCGTTTAAAATTGGACTTCATAAAGGGTCAGCCTTAAGCCTGTATCTCTTTGCCTTGGTAATGGATGAGGTTATCAGGAACATACAAGGGGATATCCCTTGGTGTATCTTGTTCGCTGATGATGTAGTGTTAGTGGACGAAAGTCAGGCGGGGGTAAATAGGAAACTAGAGTTATGGCGGCAGACCCTTGAGTCTAAAGGTTTTAGATTGAGCAGAACTAAAACCGAATACATGAGATGCGACTTTGGCGGAGCTGCACAGGAGGAGGGATATGTGAGTTTGGAAGGTCAAGTAGTGCCTAAGAAGGATATCTTTCGGTATCTGGGATCGATGCTACGGAGGGATGGAGATACTGATGCGGGCGTTAGCTGATGCGGGCGTTAGCCATAGAATCAAAGCAGGGTGGATCAAGTGGTGACAAGCTTCTGACAAGGGGGTACCACAAAAGCTAAAATGCAAGTTTTATAGAACGGCGATTAGGCCGGCTATGTTGTTTGGAGTAGAATGTTGGCCTACAAAGATTCGACATGTTCAACAACTGAGTGTTGCAGAAATGCGTACGTTGCGATGGATTTGTGATCACACAAGAATGGACCGAGTTAGGAACGATGATATACGTGATCGCCTAGGGGTAGCACCAATTGAAGAAAAGCTTGTCCAACATCGGTTGAGGTGTTTGGCCATGTCCAAAGGAGACCTCCAGAGGCACCAGTGCATTGTGGAGTCCTAAGCTAAGCTAATAATATGAGGAGAGGCAGAGGAAGACCGAAATTGACATGGGAGGAGGCAATAAAAAGAGATTTGAAAGCTTGGGATATACCTAGAGATCTATGTTTGAATAGGAGTGCTTGGAAAGCAGCTCTTGAAGTGCCTGAAGTGTGACTTGGGGTTCTTGGTGGGTTTCAACTCTAGCCTACCCCAACAGGCTATGTTGTTGTTGATGATGATGATGATTCGGGTGATACAGTGTAGGCATAACTGGTGATGCGATCAGTTTCATATGTATCCTGTCAGGGTCAGGGCTGCAGAGGATTTTGATGTTATTATTAATACTGCTACCCATTCTTTTGTTCTTTTTTCTTTGGCGTTGCTTGCTATTCCGTTATCTAGATTCTCCTGTAATAATGATGCTAGACGGTTCTGTTAACATGCTGAGGATGTGGATTTTGTTGTTATCACATTTTCCATCACCAAGATTGCCTGCAGTCCATGGGCTACATTGTTCCCACTAGATGCCACATGCAATGCAAAGTTGTTGGGATGCAATATGTAGTACTTTTTTGGGCAGTTTAATTTGCGAAAGTAGATGATACTTAGCAATGTGGCTTTGAGATTACTCTTCAAGTCCACTCAGTCCATTTTTTCTCTGTGCTTGGTACATATTGATATATAATGTTTAATGCACTACGTGTATGCCTTTTATCTGTTGCATTTAACAAGAGTAGTCCATCTGGGTAGTTTATAACAAAAAATCTGGATGTTATATGCTCCTTCAGGCTAGGCTAGCTGGTCTATTTAGAATTTGTTTAATGAACTACACATTGACTTCATTGCATTCTTGTTGAAATACGGAAAACATACCTGTGCTTGAACTGAGTTTGCAAATAGTGGCATTTATTTTTAAAAAAACATAAGAGTGATAGTGAATCATTAGTTTTTAAAGTTTATGAAGTATGAAGTGCTGCTGATATTAAGAAGAACTTTGTGATTAAAGATCTATTAGATGGTCTCAATTGGGAGATCCCGCGCTTTAAAGTCTGGGAGTCCTGACAAAAACAGAAACATAATTGAGCTTTGTTAGTATGGAGTAAGTATAGTTGTCTACAGATTACGATACCAGGCTTCTCGTTTATCTCTCTCCTTGTGATCATCAAAGGCTATGGCTAGATTGAGGTGTAGTCACTTGAGATGCCATTTAAAGTTTGATGAAGGCACCCCCTTAACTTGGGCCGCTGTTCTTTTTTTGTACGTTTCGCTCAGCCTTCACAAATCGTCAGTAGAGTTCTGGAGTTTATAAGGTCCTTATTCCTTAAGGCTCTGCTAACTTTCAGGATAACAAGCTTTTAGAGTTGTTTGCTTCATGTTGTAGTTGGTACTTGGTATTCTATTTTAACCATCCAAAATATCAATGTGAAGTATTTACTAGTGACCCAAATAAAAATGTTACTATGTTGCTGAAGAATTGTGGTATGATTCCTGATTTTAGTATTTGACAATTGTTGTTTGCATATCTCAGTGGCTTTTCTAGGTGAAGTAATGTTTTTCTTCATGTGATATGTTATTTGTTTGCCAAATGCAGATAACTTTTAAGTTACATACCTTACTGTTCTGGTTTTAATTGATTGTGATATATGTTGACATAGGTTAGTGCCTCTTATGAGCAGGCTCTGATGGATGCCCGAAAGCAGATTGAACGAGAGATGGAACGATTTAAAGTTTGTGAGAAGGAAACAAAAACTAAGGCCTTCTCAAAAGAAGGGTTAGGTCAGCAACCAAAAACAGTAAGCACTTGGACTTCTTTGTTTGTGCTATCATACTTTCCTAGCTTCATGTACATGTTTCGAGTTGTTTATATGACATCCTCGTCCTAAGAATGAGGATACTGTTTCAAAATTATTTTGTGCTATTTTTTTTTTCTAGCCTTGTAAGAGTATGTTTCTTAGATCTTGTACGATCTGGCACATTTCTTCCTGGAGTAGTTAAACTTGGTTAGGATAAAAGAATTGAGTATGATCTTAGTATTCAATGTTGGCATTGTGATTCAATCTTTGACTGATGCAATTTAGACTTCCATGAATTAAATACCAATAACTCAGGGCAGTCTAGTGTAGTACTATTTATCTTGAGTTGCTGTGGACCTCATTATCTTGCAACTTCTGTTTCATGACTAATAATTAGTTCTTATTTTGTGCAGGATCCCAAAGAAAAGGCCAAAGCTGAAACAAGAGACTGGCTTAATAATGTGGTATGTTGGAATCCTGAATTGCTACTCTCGTGCTCTTATGCTAACTGTTGTTCTGTATACTAACTGAACCACATAGGTAAATCGCAACATATGTATGCTATTTTGTTTGAGAATACCTTGGGTCTTTAATTCATTTCTGAGGACATGGTTTTTGTCCCTTTGGCCTCATCTCAATTCGATTTCCAATATATTATTTGTAGATCAATGTAGAATAGAATCATCTTGTGATGATACAATTCAGAATGGTTACAAGTTGTAACTAGTTTCTTTGATCTTTGATCCAATTGCTTTGAAACTATCACATGAATGTTTAGGGCGTGTTTGTATGATAGATTCAGTTCTGTTTCTATCTAGAATTGACAGAACCCATGCCAAATCAACGTAGCTGGAAATGTTTCCATGAGAATCAGAGATAAATGTTTTGGTGTTTTGACCTACAAGAGGGAAATGACATCTTAGGTGTTTCGCCTAATCGCCTGGTTCTGATTCGATTCCAGCCAGCTAACCAACTGCTTCCACGAAATGATTTTTATTCACCAAAGAAATGTTTCTAGAGAGAATCTGGATCCGAAATGTTTCTATGAGAATCTGGAACCGTACTGAATGGGCCATTATATGCTATGTTGTTCACTTGTTTTTGATTTCCCTTCTGACACACGTCGATTCTCTTGTTGTGATGGTACACAATCCAGAATTGGTGTAACTAGTTTCTTTGATCTGATTGCTCTGAAAATATCTCTTTGGTGTTTATATGGTTCTTCTAATTTTACTACTTTGTGGTTTTGTGATTACTGATGGCTCCTGCTATGACTATTATTTGCTTTATTGTTGTAAGTGCTCACGATTATCTCTAATGTACCTCTTGGACCATGTTATTTTTTACAGGTTTGTGATTTGGAAAACCAGATTGATAACTTTGAAGCAGAGGTTGAAGGGCTTTCAATTAAAAAGGGAAAGCAAAGACCGCCTCGACTGGTAAAAAAAGCTGTATTTATTCCATACTAATCCTATTTTTACTGTTTATTTATGGAACTTATTTTTTCTATAATTTGTACTGTATAAGAAGTGATTTTGCATGATTAGGTACATTTAGAGAAGTCTATTACGAGACATAAAGCTCATATAAAGAAATTGGAGTCAATCTTGAGACTTTTGGATAATGATGAGTTGAGTCCTGAGCAAGTCAATGATGTTAAAGATTTCCTTGATGACTATGTTGAACGTAATCAGGTATGTCTGCCTTCATAGTTGACTCATACTCTCTCCATTCCCAAATTATAGGTCGTCCAAAATGACCTCTAATTTGGGACGGAGGGAGTGATATCCTTTTTTGTAATGTTGAATGCTAATTGTGAATTGTGATAACGTACAGGCAAATGATCGACCTTTTATTTGTTATTTTTTATTTTCTTCGTTCATGTTTAGGAAGACTTTGATGAATTCAGTGATGTTGAGGACCTCTATAGCACATTGCCTATGGAGAAGGTTGAAGCACTTGAAGACATGGTTTCACTTGCTCCTTCTAGTCTTGTGAAGGTAAGCTATAAATGCTGGCTAATATGTTTTTATTCTTATGACTGTGAATGGAAACAACTAGCAGAAAATCAACAGTGTTACAGTGGTCCGGTGTGGGAGTTGGAGTCTGACAGGGGTGCAGGTGTAAGATTGCAAGATCAGAAAATAAATATCAGGGGATTTGTTTGCATATATATTGTTGATTGTACTCCCTCCATTCCAAATTATAAGTCATCCTGGCTTTTCTAGATTAGACAGCATAAATCTTGGTGCATGGCAAAAGCTTTGTCTAGAAAAGCCATAAAAACATATAATTTGGAGTGAAGGGAGTATGTTAGTTATTTACGATAGATAAATAATCCTTGTGTCAGTCTTTTGCATAGCTATTAGAGTCATATAATAGGTCTGGTCAGCTGAAAATTAACAGTTTTTATATGGCTGCTACAAACATCGTTATCAATAGCAGAGGTCTTTTTTTTTATGTACATTTAGTCTTTTTTTTTTGGTTTAGGCAGTTCCTCCACCTTATGTATTTACATTTTGTTTTGCCCCCCCCCCTCCCTTTCCCATGCAGTTATATATTTTCAGCCTTGTTTCATAATTGGCAGGGTGTTGCTTCTGTTTCGACCACTGCAGTGTTGAGCACAAAGAGTTCAGTTGCAACTTCACCTACTCAGGTTCATGCTGTTATTATTATTTTGATGGTTTGTGGTACAGATGAAATGTAAGATAATATTTTTATATTAATATGCATTTGATTTCTCATATTTGATAAATAAAATGCCAGCTTTGCTTCTGTAAATTTGAAAGTGCTAGTACTGAATCTGTTGATATGTGTCCATTCCCATCAGTGTCACCACTTGAATTTCTGTTGGTTTTGCTACAATATTGGTGCAATAAGAACATATCCAATAACAAATTAGAGAATTGTGTTCTCAGGTCAATCCTCATGTCATTTCGATTAATAACTGTCTGTTGTCTTACCAACTGTTTCATCTTTTTTTTTTCAGCCTACAGTATCAACAACTCCTTCACAAAGTACATCACAAGATCAAACAGAGGAGACAGCTTCACAAGAAAGCAATCCTGAATCTGCGCCACAAACACCACCTCCAAAAGGTGGAAATCCTGGACCTTCAGTACCAGCTGTGCCCATTGCTGTCAGTACTGGTAGTGCAGCTGTTTCTGTACCTGCAGAAACAATTAGTTCCCCTGTGCGACCAACTGTTCCCACCACAGCGGCTGCAATACTTTCTTCTGCTATTCCACGAAGTGCTCCTGAGAATACGCCTGCTGTTATCTCAATTCCTGCAAACTTATCTACCACCTTGAAGGATGATGAAAGCATGAGTTTTCCTCCACGGCGACCATCTCCTGCTATTACTGAAATTGGAATTGGCAGGGGCATAGCTCGAGGAATAACTAGTAGTCAGGCATTAGGTACAGCTCCCATAACTATTGGTCCAGTCCCAGGAAATGGATCGGTTAGTGCACTTCCTGCAATAAATGACTTGTCCAAAAGAAATATATTGAACACTGACGAGAAGATTAACAGTGGTGGTCTTTCTCAGCAGTTGGTTACGCCTCTTGGCAGTAAAGTTCAACCCCAGCAGGTTCCCAGGACTAATGATGCAATTAGCTCTGATTCTGCTAACCCAAATGAAAACCCTATTCTTGGTGGAAGTGTATTTTCTCCTCCAGTTGTTTCTGGGGTTCAATGGAGACCTCAAGCTGCTGCTACATTTCAAAATCAAAGTGAAACTGTATGTACCTCTTCTGTTAATTTTATTTTTATTATATACTCCCTCCGTTCTAAATTATAAGACGTTTTGGCTTTTCTAGATACATTTCTTTTACTATGTATCTAGACATAGTGTATATCTAAGTGCATAGCAAAAGTAATGTATCTACAAAAGCTAAAACGTCTTATAATTTGGAACGGAGGGAATAGTCCAATTGCCCTTGGTCACCTGATCAGATTTCTTAATAGCAACTGGTCCATCCAGCCAACTTTAAGTGATGTTCTGGAATATTTCTCCTTCATTTTAAATTATAGGGTGTATTAGGAGGAATGGGAGCAAGAACTAATGGTGTGAAATCAAGTGAATGAGAGAAGAAGAATTGCCAAGCTACCCCTATTCAAGTATAATACTGGAGACATAAGAGAGAATAGTTAGTGAGTGCATGCAGGTTTTTGTGATAAATGGAAGCAATCATGCTAAAACATCAATAAATCTCATAAATCTCATGTACACCTTAATATTTATCCAATATAAAAAGAGAGGACAGTATCAATTTAGTTTTCAAGTCAATTTTGTCCAAAATATCAACCTTTTTTTACTGGAGAGAGTTGTTCAAAGGTTATTCTGAGTTCGTTCTTGGTTTTGTTTGTGAAATGTTAATGTTTTTTCCTGTTCATTGCCTCTGTTTGTATGCATCCAAATAACTGATGCTTTTGTACTGAACCTGTTCAATGCCTCTGTTTGTATGCATCCAAATAACTGATGCTTTTGTACTGAAAGAACTTTTTATTTTGAACTTTGATTTGATAATTCCTCATTAGGCTCACAGATACTTGTTTGCCTATATGACATTTTCTCTCTCTGTATTTCCAGAGTCAATTTCGTGGAAGGCCTGAGATTTCTGCTGATCACAGGGAGAAGTACATACAAAGACTGCAGCAAGTACAGCAGCAAGGTGGCAGCCTTCTGAATATTTCTCATATAACTGGCATAAATCAGAAGCAATTTCCAACACAGCAGCCAAATCCCCTTCTACAACAGGTTCTACTGCTGCTACTACAATATTAAAATTTGCAGCAAATACAACTTGGCTGAGCACATCCATATTCTACTTCTCTGTTTTGTTTCTTTGATGTTTATTCTGTCACTGTTGTACCTTTTAGCCTTCTATATCTTAAGGCCCCATTTGGAATGGAGGAAAAATGAAGGAATTTTGAAGGATTGAATTTCTATAGGAAATTTTTCTATCAGAACCTTTGGAACAAAGGATTGAATCCTACAAATTCCTTTGAAATTCCTATGGAATGAACTATCGTATACAACTTTTGGAGGAAAATAAGCATGAGGTCCAATCTCTTGTTTTTGTTTTCCTTTGTGCCTTAGGATTCCTGTGTTATTCCTGTGTACCGTTCAAATTCTTCATTCATAACTTTCCTGTATTCTAGTTTCCAATAGGATTTCAATTGCATGGCCATTTCAATCCTGTGTTTTTCCTATTCCTATATTTTGAGAATCCTTCATTCTAAGAATGTAATGGGCAGCCAACTGGGCTCCTTAAGCTGGTTCGGCACTGTAGACCCCTCCTTTAAGGTTAGGGTTAGTTAGAGATAAGACTATGTTTTTTTGTAGTAGATTAGATCTATATTCCTTAGGACACCAGGAAAACTCTCTATAAATGGAGAGTTGTATCAAGCAAAGGCAAGCAAGAAATCAATCTTGTTCCCTCTTTTGCTGTGACACTTGAACCCCTTATTAGGTGCTATCGGCCAATCATGGTAACACTTCTATTTATGTACCAAATCAACTACAAAAGGTATTGGAATGTTTTAGAGATAATCCTCAGTGTGATTTCCCACCTTATAAATTTTGAAGCACCATTGAGGCCCTAAACTATATAAAAAAATGAAATTCTGTGAGGGCTAACCTTTTATATTTATCTTTTTGAAAGAGTAAATTTCACAAAATTACACTAACATTGACACATTGTAAAAACCATCGTAAAACTACACTTTTACAAAATTATTTCATAGAACTAAAATTTTCTGGACTTCTGCATCTCAGAACTACTCCCTTCGTTCCAAATTATAAGACGTTTTGGCTTTTCTAGATCAATATCTTTTGCTATGCACTTAGATATACACTATGTCTAGATGCATATTAAAATGAATGTATCTAGAAAAACCAAAACATCTTATAATTTGGAACGGTGGGAGTACTGTTTATTTCATGAGACTACACTCCCGTTATCATTTCATGTTGCAGAACTTCTCCTAGCAATTTTTATAACGAACTACACAATTTTTTAATCATTCTATATTGCAAACTCCACTTAAAGTGTAGGTTTGTGAAATAGGATGATAATATAAGTATAGTTTTGGATATAAATTCTTTAAAAGGTATAATTTTGATATAAAATGACTATGAAAGTAGTTTAGATACAACAACAACAACATAGCCTTTCAGTCCCAAGCAAGTTGGGGTAGGCTAGAGTTGAAATCCACCAAGAGCCCCAAGTCACGGTTCAGGCACTTCAATAGCTGTTTTCCAAACACTCCTATTCAAACATATATCTCTAGGTATATCCCAAGCTTTCAAATCTCTTTTTATTACCTCCTCCCATGTCAATTTCGGTCTTCCTCTACCTCTCCTCATATTATTAGCTTGGCTTATGACTCCACAATGCACTGGTGTCTCTGGAGGTCTCCTTTGGACATGGCCAAACCACCTCAACTGATGTTGGACAAGCTTTTCTTCAATTAGTGCTACCTCTAGACGATCACGTATATCATCGTTCCGAACTCGGTCCATTCTTGTGTGACCGCAAATCCATCGGAACATACGCATTTCTGCAACACTCGGTTGTTGAACATGTCGAATCTTTGTAGGCCAACATTCTGCTCCATACAACATAGCCGGTCTAATCGCCGTTCTATATAACTTGCCTTTTTCCTTTTGTGGTATCCTCTTGTCACAGAGAATGCCAGAAGCTTGTCGCCACTTGATCCACCCTGCTTTGATTCTATAGCTAACGTCAGCATCAATATCTTCATCCCTCTGTAGCATCGATCCTAGATACCGAAAGGTATCCTTCTTTGGCACTACTTGACCTTCTAAACTCACATCTCCCTCCTCCTGTACAACTTCGCCAAAGTCGCATCTCATGTATTCGGTTTTAGTTCTGCTCAATCTAAAACCTTTAGACTCAAGGGTCTGCCGCCAGAACTCTATTTTCCTATTTACTCCCGCCTAACTTTTATCCACTAACACATCATCAGCGAACAACATACACCAAGGGATATCACCTTGTATGTTCCTGGTAATCTCATCCATTACCAAGGCAAAGAGATTCGGGCTTAAGGCTGACCCTTGATGAAGTCCAATTTTAATCGGGAAGTAATATGTGTTGCCATCGTTTGTTCGAACACTAGTTACAATATTGTTGGACATGTCCTTGATGAGGGTCACATACTTTGATGGGACTTTATGTTTGTCCGAAGACCACATAATATTTCTTGGTATCTTGTCATAAGGCTTCTCCAAGTCAATGAAAACTAAGTGGAGGTCCTTCTGCTTTCTAAACCGCTCCATAACCTGTCTTATTAAAAAGATTGCTTCTGTGGTTGACCTTTCGGGCATGAAACTAAATTGGTTTGTTGACATCTGCGTCGTTCCTCACAGGCGCTGCTCGATGACTCTCTCCCATAACTTCATAGTGTGGCTCATCAACTTAATTCGCCGATAATTAGTACAACTTTGGATATCTCCCTTGTTCTTATAGATTGGTACCAATATGCTTATTCTCTACTCCTCAGGCATCTTGTTCGATCGAAAGATATTGTTGAACATCTTGGTTAGCCATACTATAGCTATATCTCCGAGACATCTTCACACCTTGATTGGGATACCATCAGGGCCCATCGCTTTGCCCCCTTTCATCCTTTTCAAGGCTTCTCTTACCTCTAATTCTTGAATCCTCCGCACAAAGCGCCTGTTACTGTCATCAAACAAGTCGTCCAGCTGAATGGTGTTCTCGTTCTCACGATTCAACAATTTATCAATATACTCCTGTCATCTATGTCTGATCTCATCCTCCCTCACCATGAGCTGCTCCCTCTCATCATTTATGCACTTGACTTGGTTGAAGTCCCTTGTCTTCCTATCACGAGCCCTAGCCATCCTATAAATGTCCTTCTCTCATTTCTTCGTACTCAAACGTCGGTAAAGGTCCTCATAGGCCCGTCCTTTTGCCTCACTCACCGCTCGTTTTGTAGTCTTCTTTGCCACCTTGTACTTCTCTATGTTGTTTGCACACCTGTCATGATACAAGCGCTTATAGCACTCCTTTTCCTTAATAGCCTTTTGCACATCTTCATTCCACCACCAAGTGCCTTTCGAGTTGCATCCGCTCCCTTTGGTCACTCCAAGCACCTCTGAAGCAACCTTTCGAACACATGTTGCCATCTTCTCCCACATGTTGTTTACATCGTCTTCATTCCAAGGGCCCTCTTCAATGACCTTTTCCTTAAAGACCTTTGATGCCTCCCCTTCTAATTTTCACCACTTCGTTCAAGCAACCCTAGCTTGTTTGTTCCCACAAGCTTGCACCAGAAAGCGGAAGTCAGCCACCACCAGCTTGTGTTGAGCGACCACACATTCTCCAGGTATCACCTTACAGTCCATGCATGTTCGTTTATCCCTCCACTTGTAAGGACAAAGTCGATTTGACTAGAGTACTGGCCGCTACTAAAGGAAGGGCAAGCCTAGTGCAGTGGTGAGAGCTGTCTAACTGAGTCACCAGGTCGCGGGTTCGAAGCAGCCTCTTCGTAGATTTTGCGAGGGGAAGGCTTGCCTCGGTTTTTCCCTTTCCCAGACCCCACTCATGTGGGAGCCTCCGGCACTAGGTCTGTCCTTTACTGGCCGCTACTAAAGGTCACTAAATGGGATTGTCTCTTACGGAAGAAAGTGTTAGCTATCATCAGATCAAAAGCTATGGCGAAGTCTAAGACTTCCTCTCCCTCCTGGTTCCTACTACCATATCCGAAAACCCCATGAACCGCCTCGAAACCTGCACTTGATGTACCTACATGGCCATTAAGATCACCTCCTATAAAGAGTTTCTCGCTACTAGGGACAGCTCTAACCAAGCGATCTAAACGTGTATGTGGTAGTTTTCAGCTTTTCGCCATTGTAGAATAATTTTGTAAAAAATACTCGGTTTTTCCGCCAAATGTCTTTATTTCTTTTTCTTGCTTCTTCTTATAGCCTGTTTTTTTTCACACTGATCAGTTTCTTTGTGCAGTTCAATTCACAGAGTTCCTCTATATCTTCCCAAGTGAATCTTGGGCTTGGAGTTCAAGGATCAGGTATTACCTCATCTACAACGTCAGAATTCATAAGCACCCAGTTCTGCAGAAGAACACCGGATTATTTTTTACTTCAGTTGGGCAAAGAAAATGCAATGGTTGAAGTATTTTATCATTTGTAAGCTGTTTGTCGTGCATTGAGAATTTACCCATCTGTGCAGATGCTGGGCATATAAAAAGTGAACAACAACAACAAATTTTGGCTGAAGATGGTGTGGAATCTTCCGCAACAACGGGAGCAAATAAACAAACAAGTGAAGATGACACAAAGATTCCATATTCGGTATATCAAGCTTTTGCGCATGTCCTCGAACCTTCCTTCTTTTTTTTTGTTGGCAAATGTCTGATCATGAAATCAGTTTTGGCTGTGTTCAGTTTGTTTCTTCCAACTGCATCAGATGTTCGAGTTTAACTAAATTAGAAAACTAATATGGAAAGCTGAAGTTACCAAGTAGTTATAAAATCAGTTCAGTTGTTACTTTGTTAGGAATTCTACTCGAACTTCTTTTGAAAGTTGGGTGGGTGGGTGGGGTGTAATTACAGTTAGATTTTGCAACGGCTTGACTTATCCTTAAAATCGGCAAAAGCTTTTCGGTACAGTCAATAATGCTTATAAATGTGTATATTATTCAAAGGGAAATGTCTGAGGAACTATAAATACATAGTCCATCAAGGACCATGCTCATGGGGTTTTTCTTGAAAGATGTATACAAAATATTTGTAATTTCAGGATTTTGTTTGCCACTGAAATTTGGAAAAACATGATATATATTTATACAGATGTTATGGTCCTTGCAAAACCATCAGTGGAAAGTTGGTGAAGTATTGATGTCCCAGAAAACTAATGTGTGGTTGCTAACATGTTGCATTAGTTTGCCTTTTGCATATCTGTCTTGCTCTACAAGGTCTCAAGCTTTTTATTCTTAATTATCATTGAACTATATGATGGCTGTTATCCATATGGTCCAAACAAACTGCTTGGACTCACCGTCCCATACTCTTTTAAGTGAAAAGTCCAATCGATCTGAACATAGTAAATATCTTTCTGTCCTCGAGACACATGGAATTTATCCTGCTTTTCTCTGTGCTTAGCTTCCTGTTACATCTCAGGCTATTTTCTGGTTTGGTTTCACAGAATCCTTCAGCACCTGCAGCAGAAAGCACTCAGCTGCCTAGGGATACTGATCTATCACCTGGGCAGCCTTTGCAACCTGGAATGTCATCATCTGGTGTTGGTGTTATTGGCCGAAGAAGTGTATCTGATCTTGGTGCAATTGGAGATAACCTTACCGGAACTTCTGCTAGTTCAGGTCATGATCAGCTTTATAATATGCAAATGCTCGAAGCTGCATTCCACAGGCTTCCACAGCCCAAGGACTCTGAGCGTGCTAAAACTTACATTCCGGTATGGGTTTTTGAAGGACATGGGTACCTGCTACAAAGTTTCTAGTGCATTGTTCTTACTTTCTTACCCACTCATTTTCAGCGGCACCCTGCAGTTACCCCTGCTAGTTACCCCCAAATTCAGGCACCAATTGTATCACATCCTACCTTTTGGGAAAGAATTGGTAGCGACACATTAGCTACTGACATGCTGTTCTTTGCGTTCTACTACCAACAGGTCAATTTTCCTTACTCTTTCCAAATTATATTTGTTTCCTGCCACTACCAGCGAATTTTCATCGGTTCTTAGTTTTTACTCCTAATAATGTTCTTCGGTTGCAGAACACATACCAACAATACTTGGCTGCTAGAGAACTGAAGAAGCAATCATGGAGATTTCACCGGAGGTACAATACCTGGTTCCAGCGGCATGTGGAGCCACAGGTCACGACTGATGAGTATGAGCGGGGATCATATGTATACTTTGATTTCCATGTCACCGAGGATGGCTCAGGATGGTATGTGGGTCTTGCCTTCGAGCAATGTTACTGTAATGCATTCTGTTTTTACTTTTTTGTCCTGTTCTTTTGTGCATCGTGGGGTGGTGGTACACTCTTGTGCTGGTGATAGCTAACTTGTTGCTAACACTGCTTGCAGGTGCCAAAGAATCAAGAATGACTTCACATTTGAGTACAACTACCTGGAGGATGAGCTATCAGTACAAACAAACTAGAGTGCCATTGCAGTAATCAAACCATTGTGTCCAATGTAAATTTTGTAGTTTTCATAAGGTGACTGACTGTTATATTCTGGACTCTTGAAAAATTCTCCAGCTGTAAACTAATAATGGGGTGAAGTTGGAGTTGCCCTGTGCATTCCTTGTAGGTTCTGATGCACCGAACATGCTGAAATTAGAATCGTGTTATGCCGGCCTATCAAACTGTTTGGCTCAGTTGGACATGCAGATCAAACTGTTTTTTCAGTGCACCCATTACACTGTCTGATCTGTATGCACGATAGTGTAATGGGTGCCTGAAAAAAAAGAGTGGTTTCGTTCCGTCTCATATACGAGACACTACGACCCTCTCATCGTCACCGGAAAATGATGTCACAAATTGGCGGCAAAATGTGTGTTCATCGCAACTCTTGCTATACAGTATGTGCTTGAATTGGTACGTGTGCGCATTGTTGCTTCAACAAAGTTCAGAGTTGTGATGCGGATGGTCTTTTTGATAAGCATGTAGAAAATGCAGGTAGAACTATGTTTTTCAAACATTAGGCCTTTGGGGCCAATCTGCAGGTAGAGCGATGGGTCGTTTCGATAAGCCAAAGTAGAACATGCAGGTAGAACGATGGGTCTTTTCGATAAGCCAAAGTACTAGACGTAATATTCGGTCGATCGAGGAGACAGTAATTCGAACATCTAGACCGTTTTTTTCGCGACCATGCCAAGGCACGTATTTCATTAAAAGAAGAAAACGGTCAAGTTCTCATTATAAGTTCAGATTAGTAATCGCATGATTACCAAACCGAACCCCAGCTTGACAACAAATTAGCAATATTACACAAAACTATTAGGGACTAGCTACATAGGGCGCAGCCCATTACAACAACTGTATTAAAGATAACCTATAGCACATCCTGCCGGCATGCATCCCCTGGTGTGGGTTTCAGTGCATCTTGAGGCCCGGATCAATCCAGACATGACGACCGCATTAACTATATATTTGGGATTTTCAGCTGCGTGCTAATTTTGATTTTGTTATTACAAATGTTGTTGCAGTACTTGCGAGCCGTTGATGCATCACGTATGCATGTTGTGTTGTCGATCGTCTATCACGTACGGCGCATGCGTTCACTGTTGAGGCCGTACGGCCCTTGCATATACTGGGAAACAGTACTGTAATACAGACACAAAGTCATGGGCTTAATTAGCCTGCAAATATCATTTGAGTTAGTCCTAGTAGCACTGTAGCAGTATATATCTATATAGGACGACTAGAACCATGTGCACACAAGGAACAAATTAACGGCATGCACGCACAGCCTGCAAATCTGAGGGATCATATCATATCGACCGTCGAAGCAGTGGTTTACGAGGCGAGCATGCAAGAGCTGTTAAGTTGCAGGCCGCGGTACATGAACCGGGAGAGTGTTGTGTTTCAGTGCTCGCGTGTACGTACGTGTCAGAGTGTTGTTTACGTTACGCCAGCGCGTCATCATGCATGCATGCAGCGCGACAGCTTGCGGGCGTGCGGGCGTGCGTCTCCGACACTCTCTGGAGTCTCCACGGCTAGCTGCTAGCCTTTTTACTTGCTCTGATGACCCTGATCCACGTCAAAATAACGATCATCACGTACGGGCACGCACGGCACTGATCCACTGTTTTAGCAGCTCGCACCGGTCAATGGTGCCATGAAAGGGTCCAAATTAAGAATAAACCTGATTAAGGCGCTGGGCTGTATATATAGCTAGGGCATGAGGCCATGACCATGAGCACAATTAATTCCTCTGCACTACTGCAGCTTGAGCTCACCGTTTCCCATTAAGTAAGAAACATAATAAGGTCGTCTCGCATGTCTGCTTCGTCTCGCCTTGTACTGTGCCGTGCCATCGTTCCATGCTGACTGCATTGAACAATGAACAAGGTTCCTCGTACATACGGTCGTACTCGTACGTACTACGTATAGTATGGTGGTCACGGGTAACTGCACACAGCACACTGGCCCCATTCGCTTCGCTGAAAAAATAAACCGAAACATTATTCCGGCTGATTTGTTGTAAGAGAAAAACACTGTTCTAGCTAAAAAAACAAGATGAAAAATACGGATCACAAGAGAAACAAACCAGCCTGAAAAGTACCGACTTCATTCGCCAAACGAGTACTCCGTAGTAAATAAAGCATATAAGAATCGTTTTCCTATTTACGCCAGCAATTGAGAGTAGAGACTAGAGAGAGAGAGAGAGCTCGCACCCGTCGCCGGAGACGATATATGAAACTCTGAACACTCAGCTCGAACGTTAGTTGCGAGCAGCGACACGGCCCTCGCGCCCGTACGGCCGAGGGAGTGGGACCGTGCTCTGACGTTGCAAAGGTGGAGCACCGCTGCAGTGGGCAGTGGCAGTGGTAGCTAGCCGCCACCGACCACACTGCGAGCTTTGCCGGCCGCGGCCGGTGAAACGGGCGGGTGGATGGAGGCTGTGCGCCGCGAATGAATTTTATTTTATTATTACTCCATCGAGAGAGTATTATTGACACCTCCGCGTATAGTGTAGCAATGCGACCGTTTGGTGATCGGCGGCCACGCACGCTCTCACGCTGTTAAGGGACAGTCACCGCACCCTGCGCGTAAGTGGCTCCATAGACCATAGTCCATGCATGGCATCTAGAGGCTGTCTCACGCTTTCACCGCAAAGCTACTGCGCGCTCGCTCTACTTGGACAAACCTTGCCTAGTTGCCTTGCTAGGCGCGTTTTCACACCGATCGATCGCCTAGTTGTGGCCGCCTGGTGTTCATCTTTAGGGGCTGTTCGGTTGCCAGGGAATGCATCCCTGGAACCATTCCAACCAGGAATGTTATGTTAATTTAAACTATCTTTGACCACCTGAAACGATTCCTGGTGGAATCAAGGCCAAACGAACGAGCCCTTAATTTGTTCATTTCCGTTCCATTTTTTATGCTTTCAGATCCGGATGTTAGTTCAGCTGAACGGGTTTTAGATGGACCTAATAATGACCCCGACAAACTAAACTTTTCGTCATGATCGACTCCCAATTTTTCATGGGAAGTAGTTATAAACAAATTACAATAATGAGTATATAAACAAATATGGAGTTAACCAGTCAAAAGCATCTCTAAATATATTATTTAGAGTAGACATATTCATATTTCCTACAAACTTGCTAAATATACAATTCTCCAACTGCTCATAGACACAAACTAGCAGTGACGTACTGCCACTATCGATTCTAAACTGGCGGTGATAATACGGCGATGATATGTATTTGCAGTGGTGAAGAATGGGAAAATCATAATATGAAATTACTCACAAGTTGAGGTTTCACAAATCAAATAACGTCCAAATTATCCTATGATGAAAACAATCCAAGCAAAGCCCAAAAAGTTCTTGACGTTTACTTCTAGGTATAAAACATATATGACAAAGTTTTGACAAATCTAGGACACAACACATTGTCTTTGACAACATAGAAAATTCTATGGTGAATGTTGAATTAGGACTAGAACAAAATTAATTAAAAGCTATCATATGCTTAGTTTTCCAACGTATTAAAGACCATCTCAATTAGTAGACTCCATATGAATAGGTTCCATTTTAGTGCGGTGTTGAATCCGAACTGAGCACTGACTCTGACTTGAAGTTGACTTAAACTAGACCCAACTTGGATGATTCATAGGTGTTTATTCCCACATTCTTAGGCATCAAAATATCACAATTATTCAGTATATATAGCATATTATTCTTATAACTAATAGTTTCTATGTTTATATCTTTAAATAAATTTACTATGAAAATATGACGTGATTAATCTAATGGTACTTATCTCGTATCACATATACTAGTATTTTTTTGGTACATATTTGGTTAAAGTTGAGATTGTTTGACTCCTCGAAATGAGAGATAGAGACTTGTTTTGAAACGAATGGAGTAAATTACGATAGATTTGTCATGAACTGTAATTTCATAGTACACCTGCTATATGTCATAAGTATCATCAACTTTTTCTATAAACTTGCATAAAATTTAGATAGTTTAACTGTCGATGTTTTACCACCGATAGCCTACCACGGAGGTACTCAAGACAGTTGTTCGGGCTTCGGCGAATAGCGGAATTCGGCGGTTACGCAAAGAGACTCACGATTTATACTGGTTCAGGCCCTCAACTTGGTCGAGTAATAACCTTACGTCCAGTTTTGGCGTTAGCCTGTTTGCGTTGTATTGCTTTTAGTATCGGGTATGCGTTCTCCTTTTACAATGGATACCCTCACCAGTCCTTTATAGTCCAGGCGCTGAGAGGCGTTGTTTGTGTCCTATTCGGATACAAGGTCAGAGTCCTAAGCTACACTTCGGGCGCCTTTCCTTGTATAGTTTGCGTTGGAGTTTCAGTTTTGCACGTTGCTTTGCTCCGCGTTCTTCTTGGTGATTGGGCTGTAGGCCTTGCTACCAAGGCCTACCTCCCTGCAGTATGGTCTATGGGGGGCCCGTAGGGTTCTCCATCGACAAGCCCTCGAGCATTTCATGATTGAGCTTCAAGGGTCGAGTTGTTGTAGTCTTGACCCGGGTCTTTTTTGAAGTGAAATCTTGAGATGGTCTTCTTTGATTCTTCTTTTGGCTGATGTGCACTTTTGCTTGACGTCCTCCGGGTTCTTTTTCCTTTGAGTGCAGCGAGTGCAATTTTGCAAAAATTGCACTCATTGAGTGTAGCCCCCGAGCCTTCTGTTTTTTGGTACAAAAAGCTGGAGGGTCAAAAAATTTGAAAATATGTTTTTCTGTGGTAAGTACTTGCAGCCCCCGAGCCTTCTCCGGGTTCTTTTCTGTTGAAAAGAAGCCGGAAGAAGGGTCTTGATTTGTACTCCTTTGATCTTTGTCTTTTGCTGGTCACGGATGGGTCTTGTATAGCCATGAGTGAGCGTCTTCTTTTACTTTTTGTCAGGAATCTTGCTTTTGGGTACTATTCGTCTTTTTTGCTTTGCTCTTTTGTTCTTTTCCTCT